GTGGGTCTGGCAAGCATCACTGAAAAGAAGCCTCCCCTTTTGGCTTTAACTGGTATGCTGGTGTTCTCTCTCTCCAAGTTTTCACAACTGCTTGGTCTCCAGGGTGGACATTAGGTGGTACTCTTGGGCCAGAGGCTGGCAGACAGCTTGTGCTTGACCCAGATCGATACAGTACTATAAGGATCTGCTGGACTCTGTCTCTACTCTCGTATCAGTATAAAAGTGGCCTCCCGTATAACCTCTCAAATGGGCTCAAACTTGGTCCAATTTTGGTCATGTAACAACCCTCATGAGTGCTATCGGCAGCCATCAGAGCCAGGACTCGGGTGTCCCTTGGTAAAGTTTAGCCAGAGCTCACTTTAGGGTCTGGTTCTCTACCCTTTGAGACTGTCAATTGGAATGGAAGTAGTACTTATTCCTAAAGCCCTTGCCACTCCCTGATTTGCTTGGAAATAAAAGAAGGTTCATTGTCACTGTGGAGGGGCTGCAGTAGTCCAGATCTGAGGGTGATTTCTTTAAGAAGCAGCGTGATTACCTCAGTAGCCTTTTCTGAACAGGTAGGAAAGGTTTCAATCCAGCCAGTGAAGGTGCCAGTTAGGACCAACATCTGTTTAAATCCTCCACATGTTGGCTTGTGGGGGACTGAGCCAGTCTTCTCCAGGGTGTGTCCCTCTCCTCTGCACAGGTTCTAGTAAAGGAGGCAGTTTGGGCTTGCCCAGGTTGTTGTAGGCTCAGAGTTGACATGCTTTGCAGACCTGTTGGGTGATTGTCATTAATCCTGGTCCTGTGAAAACCTGAGTGACCATTTCCAATGTAGCATTTCTTCCCACATGGAATCGTGAGGTGTTTTTATTGCCTTCCACTGTATTCTTGGGGAAGGACCAGTTTGTTTCCTAAATGTCGCCAGAGCCCCTTTTTAATTCCTCCTTTTCCTAAGGCTCATTTATCTTCCAGAGGGTGGATATAGACTGGTTTTAATGGTTCCTCAGGAATTGAGAATAAGACTAGAGTCTCAGGGGCTATAGGGCTGCCCTTTTTGCCTCTCTGTCAGCCTTTTGATTTCCCAAGGAGATTTCAGACACATCTCTGTGGTGTCCTTTACAATGCATGGCTGTGACCTGCCTGGGAAGATGGACTGCCTCTAGGAGCTATAAAATATCCTTCTTTTCTTAATTTTATTTTTATTTTTATTTTTTTGGTCCTGGGGATCGAACTTAGGACCTTGCATTTGTGAGGCAGGTGTAGTGCCACTGAGCTAAATCCCTGGCCCTCCTATCTGTGTTTTATAGATGATTGTCAGTAAGCCTCTTTCCTCCCAGATGGCTACATAGGCGTGTAGAACCAGAAAGGCATTTCTGGAGTCTGATTGGATGTTTAGCCTTCTATTTTTTTCCTGATATCAATGCCTGAGTAAGAGGTATCAGCTCTGCCTTTTGATCAGAGGTTCCTGGGAGGAGCTGTTTAGCTTCGGCGATCTGTCATGAACTAACAACTATATAACCTGCCTTTTGATGTCCTTCTCCAATACTGAAACACACCTCCTGAGGATCTTAGAGGGGCAGGTCCCTGATGTCCTGCCTGCTTATATAGGTCTGTTCATAAGAGTGGCTAATCTTGTATCTTGTGGTCATCAAGCAGGGTTAATAAGTAGTGCAGAGGGCTGGGGATTTAGCGCCGTGGTTCCTACGCCTGCCTCATAAGCGCAAGGACCAAAGTTCAATCCCTGGTATCCCCCCTTAAAAATGGTAGTGCAGAGTTTTTATAATAACCTCAGGGCTGTCTTACGAATATAGTTTAAGCCGGGCATGGTGGCACATGCCTGTAATCCCAGCACTCGGGAGGCTGAGGCAGGAGGATCGCTGTGAGTTCGAGACCAGCCTGGGCTACATAGTGAGTTCCAGGTCAGCCTCACCTACATAGTGAGACCCTGTCTCAAAAGACAAACAAGCAAACAAGCGAACATAGTTTGATACTCGGTAAGAGTACCCCTTGTCTCCAGAATAGCTCTGATCTGATGGGGAGTTGGAACTTCTGGTCTCTGACCAGGAGTTAACTTTGTAGCTTCTTCTGCTAGTACAGCTGCAGCTGCTACCACTGCCATCCAGCAGCCACTCCTTCTAACTTCTTTGAAAAGTATGTTACTGGATGGGGTTCTGATCATAACCTTTGGGTCAAAAACCACAAAGCACGTCTTTCCTTTTGTGGTGCGTAGAGGAAGGGTCTTCTTAAGACAGGCATGCGCAGTGCTGGAGCCTGAGTAAGGGCCTGCTTTGTCCCTCAAGGCACTGTCAGTCGCTTGTCTGTTCCGGGGCACACCTGGGCCTTTAATTGCCTCATATAAAGGCTTTGCCACTAGTCCAAACTTAAGTAGGCAGATCCTACGGAAGCCTGCCGTTCCCAGGAAGGAACAAAGCTGCTGTTCAGTGGCAGGAGGCCCAAGATCACAGATAGCCTGGCTCTGATCTCTACACAGCTGTCGTTCCCCAGATGTAGAATAGTTCCCACATATGAACCTTATGGAGGGACGGCTGAGCCTTTGGTGAGGGGGCTTTATATTCATCTTCGCTAGAAAGTTTAGTTTGTAGTGTTATGGTTATATAATTTCTGAGTTGCGCTGTAAACTGGAATAACATGTACACGTTCCCCGAGTCATTTTCTGGTGCCCAAGCAAAAAGGCGAGGACTATCTGTAACCCTCTGTGGGAGAGCTGTCCGAGTGCAGTGTTGCTATTCTCTTGAAATGGAATTTTTCCATTCAAAGGCAAACAGAAGCTGGGAGTCGGATGTAGGGAGATGTAGAAGAATATGTTAAATCTAAGACTGAGAATGAATTAAGTGTCCCCTGCAGTCGGGGAGAGGATTGTACATGGATCTGCCGCTGGAAGATGGATGGGAAGCACAGCCTTGTTAACGAAGCCAGGTTTGTACCGTCCTGCATTGTCCTGAGGGCGTCATTGCAGAGAGAACAGGAGTATTTCAAGGGAATTGGCAAGGTTCTTCAAGGCCACATGTGAGAAATCTGTCTGAGAGGCTGGAGGCCCTTATGTGCCTCTTCCTTGATGGATACTGCTTTTGTGTTATGAAACAGGCTGGGGTCTTTCAGCCTTAGAATTCTGGCATCGCTGAATTTGCCCTCCCAGGTGTTCCACTGTACTGTGCAGTAGGATTTACTTGTTGGCTGATTTGGTCGGGGAGTTCTGGTGTAGTCTCAGCTAGTAAAACCCCTTTTGACCTTGGCTGGAATTTGAGAATTGCTCACAGTTTTGTTACTAAAGCTCCTCCTAGCACAGGAGGACGGCACTGTGACCTTCAAAGTGGTGTGTCAGGGGAGGAGTAAAGAATCTCTGCCTAGGGGTCCCTTCAACCCCAACTATGGCTGTAGACCCAGAGGGGAGTTTTCCAGAGCCGGGCATCAAAACAGTGAGCCGCCCATTTCTGTAGCAGTCAGATTGGCTCAGCCATGACATCCAAGTTTCCCCAGGGCTCCCCAGAGGAAAGAGCAGTATCCCTGGACAGGGGCATGCAGGTCCCCCGGGCCTCTCTAGTCGTCAGAGCAGGAAGTGAGGGTTCTGGCTGGCCTGGCCCCTCTCTGGGAGCGGGGACAGTCCCACCTCCAGGCCACGAGTCACGTGGTGCAGGGCCCAGGTGGAGGCTTGGTGCAGTGCTATGCCCGGTGTCCAGCTTCTTTGCACTTGAAACAACCCTTGGCTGTCCCTGGGTTTTTCCATAGATGACCTGGGTGGTTGTAAAGCGTTACCATTTGCAGCAGCTGTAATCTTAGCCCTTCTCTCGTCTCTCCTCTGGGACCTGATTATTGAACACAGAAAAGGCTGTGTCTGCATCCTTATACTCCATCTGCATCTCGTGGGAGCCCACAAGAAGTTTCACACCCAGGTCCTGAGATCTTGTCGTTGACAGGTCCTGCTCCCTTCCCATGCCACCTTTGCCACACCCTGCCTCCTGTGTCCTCTTGGCTTCTGATTCCTCTGTCCTGTGCTGGGCCATGCCCGAGGCTGTCCCAAGTGCTTGGGTGGGCGGTTCAGTCACCTCCTCTCTGCTCTTGCTAGAAGGTGAGCGGCTGGACGATACTGTCCTCTTCCAGACCAGGGCCTGGCAGATAATAGGAACTCGGTAAACACTTACTAACAAGTGAGTGACTGCGAAGTGTGACAGACAGCTCGGAGGGATGAGACCCCCCAAGCAGGCTAGTGAAGGCAGAGGCACAGACTTTATTCACGGGGCAGGGGGAGACTGATGCGGGCTAGAGGACGCCAGCCCGGAACACAGAAAAGGCAGCAAGCGTTACAGGGTATTGGGAGGAGACTGGCACATCTGGCATGCTTAGGGATCAGAGCAGATACTGTGGTCAGGGTCCGTGCGGCGGTAAAGGAGGCTGTGTGGATGTGTTCAGATGACCCGGCGTTGAAAACATGCTGTACTTTGTAGCTGTCATCTCTGTGTAGGGAGAGACAGGACCGCTTTTGTCAGGTGGAGACAGCACCTGCATCAACTGCCTGTTTTGTTGTGGTTTTTGTGTCTTGTCAGACTGTAACTTGAAATTAAAGAGCATATTCATCAACCATTTCACGAGCAGATCAAGCCTGATACTAAGTACAGTAAAGTATTTATGTTGTATTCCTTTATCAGTGAGAGTAGGTGTCACGTCCTATCTTCCTGGCCATTTGTGTTACTTCTCTAGTGACCTTTTCATGCTGGTTACCCATTTTGTGTGGGGTCTTGGGTTGAGTTTGTCTTCGATGGGTGGGGTCTGGGGTGCTAGAGGGTAGCCAGGTAAACTGCAAGTATAGTTGGAGAGCCTGCTGGTTTGGAATCACCCTAGAAATACCGCAAGCGGTACCAAGGGTCCCCAGTACTGGCCCGGGCACCCTCGGGCCTTGCAGAACCCAGCCGTGTTCTCCCTGAGGCCCATCTCGGAAGCATCTGTTTCTCAGCATTCTCCCAAGACTCTTAATTCTAAGTTTGTGTTTCTTTCTTTTGCAGGCTTATGGTGAGGGCTCTGGTGCCCACTGTAGAAGCCACGTTCAAAAACTAAATCTGCTGCAGGGACAGGCTTCTGAGCTGTTACCCAGGTATGATGGTTTGGAAGGGGCACGTTGCCTTGGCCTGCTTTTGTCTCAGCTGGGTGGTGGAGGTATACAGCAAAGAGAACCTTAGATTTCTGTGTTTTGCAACACAGAGAATTAAATAACCTGGACTGTCCTCCCACAGAAAAGGCTGGCCACAGTATTTGAAATGCACTGATGCACTATCAAAAGTGAAGTGAATCCTAGAACTCAGGAGGCTGAGGCAGGAGGATCACAAGTTCATTTTCTACCTGAGCAACTTAGGAAGATCCTATCTAAAAATTAAGAAAAATAAAAAGGAGAGAGGATATAGCTCAATGTAGAGCACCCGTGGGTTCAGTTCCCAGTACCATAAAAGACAAGAGAAGGCACACATGTAGGGGCTGAGGATGTAGCATGTGCAAGAAAAAAAAAATGAAGGAAAAGCCGAAGTCCCGGGAGGACGCGTCTGAGCTTGGGGTGACGGGAGCCCAGTGTTTGAGCCTCCATGCATCCGTGGGAGGGCCCCCAGAAGGGACCTGCTCAGTGTAGGGTTGGAGTCTCCACACCAAGCCTGCGTCCGTGCACAGTGAGCCCTGGGTCTGCCCTTCACAGCAGGAGTGTCCGCACTGGCTCTGGCCACAGCCCATCAAGCCTGCCAGCGCCGCACTGCCCGGCCTTCTTAGATGAGGGGCGATCACATTCCAGGAGGCAGAGCGAGCAGATTCGCAGGGCTCTGTAAGTCAGCTGGCGTGAGGTGGGTGAGTGAGGCTGGGGTGGAGCTGGAACTGGAGGGAGGGCTGAGCACATCTATGCTGCAACACAGAGGGCTTTGAGCCTGGGTGTCGCTCATGGTACAGCACGTAATCAGCAGTGTATAGGGCACAGAAGAGTTCCATCCAGAGAAAAGGGAACTGGCCAGACGTCACGTGAAGAGATACAGCAGGCATGGGGAGGGCACACACCGCCCTTAAAAGCAATTGTTGCTGGGCGTGGTTGCGCATGCCTGTAATCTAAACAGTAGGGAGGCTGAGGCAGGAGGATTGCATGAGTTCAAGGCCCAGCCTGGGTTACACAGGCAGACCCTAACTCAGAAAACAAAAAGATACATTAACTGTATGCCTGAGCGGGTGTATTTTAGCATACAGAATACCTCAATAAGTTAATGGTAAAACTTTCTAAAAGTCTGCCCTTACACACAGCAACATAATGAAAGCACGGCACACAGAGCACAAGGCAAGAGCTGCAGAGAACAGCGTACTGACCGAGAGCAGCAGACCCCGCTGGCCACATTGAGTTTTTGAAGACAGGCAGTCCTCAGGGTGCCAAGACGCCCGTTAGTAACTAGAGCCCTTTATCTTGCTTTGCTGCTGGGGACAAAAGCAGGCCTCACACTTAATAAGCATGTGCTCTGTACCATGGAGCTCTTCCCTCACCCGGGGCTGAGGGGTCTTTGGGTTTCTCAGACAGGGTCTCTGTAGCTCAGTGGGCCTTGAGCTCACTATATATCCCAGGCTGGCCTCCCAACTTGGCAGCAATCCTCCTGCCTCAGCTTCCTGCCACCATGCCCAGCTGGAGTTTTGTTTGTTTTGTTTTGTTTTTGGTATCAGGGATCAAACTCCAGACCTTGCACTTTTAAGGCAAGCAGCAGAACCACTGAGCTAAATCCCTGGCCCTGGAGTTGAGTTCTTAAAACCTAGGAAGTTGAGCAGAGTACAGGAAGTGGCTTAGGAACCTGCCCCCCTGACCTCCTCAGAGTGCACCAGTCACACTTGTGGCTGGCTGCACCTCATCTTCCTGAGAGTTCCGTCAGGGTTACTGGCTTTTGTGGACTAAAAGGCGTCTAAAGTAAAGGTGCCCACTTCTGTAGGTTTTTTTCAGTACCATGGACTGAATCCAGAGCCTTTGCTCTGAGGTACACCCCTAGCTACCACCACCACCACCCCTTTTTTTTTGGCTGTGCTAGGGATAGAGCTCAGGACGTCGCACTTCTGAGGCAGGTACAGCACCACTGAGATACACCCCTGGCCTTACCCCTAGCCCTTTTAAAATTTTATTGGCAGTTTCACTAAGTCACTGAGTTGCCCAAGCTGGGCTCAGACTTGGGCTCCTTCTGCCTCAGCCTCCTAGAATTCTGGCATTACAGATGTGATTTCTGATCATGTGACAAGAGGTTGGCTTTGGCCACCCCTGCGGTGTCCCTGCCACCTGGCGCTCTCAGCTGAGCACCGCACCTGGCTCTCCCCAGGCAGAGCAGAGCACGCTGTCCCTGGGGGGACCCGTTGTTGCCGCACAGGGTCTGTGAGGTGGTTGCAGAAAAGCACTGCCGTGCGCCTTGGTGAGAGACGCACCAACCAGGCGGGTTCAGAGGAGTCTGCTCAGAGCAGGCCTGGCGGGCTGACGCTCACTGTGCTCGCTGTGTTGAGCTGCTTTTGCAAGGTGGATGTGGAGAGGTCCAGGTCTCTACTCTTTCCTGAGGGGACATCTCTTTTCTCCATCTCTGCCTTGAGGCTCTGCTGGAACCCACAGTGGCTGTGGCCCGAGACTGCTGAGGGTCCTGGTAGGTGGCCGTCCCTGTAAACTTCATCTTGGGGCCTCAGCCTCAAGGGGTGAGATGGGTGATGTAAATTCAGGGCCATATCACTTTGTAGAGCCAGCAGTCAGACCACGCCCCTGCATGATTAATGTGCTGGAGCCAAGCAGGGTCTGACCCAAAGGCTTTAAGTGATAAAGGAGACCAACACAAAAAAAGGCCAAACTCTGCCCTGGTTTTAACTACCCATTGGGTATCTGGAGCCAGGTGTACTGGTACACACCTGGAACCCCAGCACTTGGGAGGCTGAGGCAGGAGGATCGCCACGAGTTCAAGACCAGTCTGAACTACATCACAAAACCTTGTCTTAACAAAAAGGGGAACCTGTAGGCCTGCCTGTAGTCACTTGTTTTTTGGGTTGAACCTAGGGCCTTCACACTACATCCTGGGCCACCTTTTATTATGAGACAGGCCCTCACTAATTTGCTGAATTGTCCAGGCTGGGCTCAAAGTTATGATCTTCCTGCTTCGGCCTCCATTGTGCTGGGGTTACAGTGTATACCATTATGCCTGGCTGGAGTCTGTTTTTAGTAAAAGCAGCTTTCAAGTCCCTGTCTCTGAACAGAACACGAGTTATGGACTGGGGATTTAGCTCAGCAGCACTGTGCCTGCCTCACAAGCCAAGGTCTTGAGTTCGAGGTACTGGGTCCCCAGTACGAGGGGTGGGGTGGGAACACAGTCATGCAGCCAAGTGGCGTAGTGGCTCACGCCTATAATCCCAACACTCAGGAGGCTGAGGCAGGAGGATTGCTGTGAGTTCGAGACTAGCCCAGGCTACATATAGTGAGTTCCAGGTCAGTCTCAACTACATAGTGAGACCCTGTTTCAAAAAAGGTGTGGGTGGGAATTAGTTCAGTGGTTCCGCTGCCTGCCTGGCAAGCACATGGACCTGACTTCAATCCCCGGTACCAAAAAAAAAAAAAGAAAAAAAACCCAGGAAGAAAAGACAGTCAATGAAAACAAGCTAAGGGCCAGTTTTTCCTCCCTCCCTGGGGTGAGACATGACAGCTGTAGGCACGTACAGCCCTCTGGGGATCCCAGCCGCTGGGAGGGAGGGTGCTTGCAGAGCTCAGGTGTCCAGCCCCTGCCTGCCTCATGGATCTTTGTGGTCCCTGTGGTCCCCGTGCAGTATAGTCCCTGTCTGTGTGGAGGGACCTGGGGTGGTGCTGTCCCCAAGTCACTGGGGAAGGCAGGATGCGCTTCAGCCCTGTGCTGGGCGTGCTTGCCAGCCTTAGGCAGGGGACAGCGCTCGCTCTGCACGGCCTTCTGAGCAGCTGGCAGGTCCCATCCAGACAGCAGAGGTGTCTTGGGTCCCCGAGATGCTCTTGGTACCCGTGCTGGCTTCACCTTCCTGTCATTGAACAGAGCACGCGTGTGTTGTCATCGCCGTCTCTCCCCGGGGCTCTGCAACAGACTGCAGGCACCCATGAGGGACACAGGCCCTGGGCAGACCTGGAGCCGGGGTCCACAGGCAGGCGGTGCCAGGCAAACTGCAGCTGACTGCGTTTGTGACTGCACCTTGGCACCTCTGGTCCACATGACTTCCAGTTGCCTAAGCAAAGGGGTTGGTCTCATCCACAGAGGAGGGCTGAAAACAGCAAAAATGAGCATGCACTAGGTCAGCCGTCCAGCTCTCTCCCCAGTAAAGCGGAGACAGGTAAAGCTAGTAAAGCTAGGACAACAGAAAGACCACTGGGGATCGAACGCAGGACCTTACACTTGCCAGGCAGGCACGGCACCAGAGCTGTATCCCCAGCCCCCACATTACTCTCTGGGGTAGGATTAAAGAGGAACGAACTCTTATCCTCATGTCTGTTCAAACTGCTGCTTCAGAAGCTAGGCTGTTATCTCCTGATTTCACAATAAAGGAGTAGGCATGGTGGCACCAACCTGTGATCCCAGCAGACTGAGGTAGGAGGGTCACCTGAGGAGGGTCAAGGCCAGCCTGTGCTACATAGCGAGAGACCTTGTCTCAAAATCTAATCAGAATCAACTTCAGTGGTGCACGGACTGCTTTTCTGACGTGTGGTCAGCCTCCAGCAACATTCATCTAAGAGGATCCCTCAGCCATCCAGCAAATGCTGGGAAGCCCTGAAAGCCACAGCAAAGTCAGTTACCCCTGAGGCTGAGGCGGGAGGGCCCCAGGCCTGGAATCCAGCCCTCTGCCCTTGAGGTCTGGTAAGAGGTGATGGAGGCGGCTGCAGAGGACTGGCAGGCAGCATGCGAGCTTCCACGTAGGTGGCATCACAGGCACCCAGAGCCGTGTCCTGCTGGCTGGCCCTGCTCCCAACGTTCTATTTATGTATGAGGGAGAAGCTTGAGCTAGGCTGATACAGCCCCCTTCTGTGCTCCGGGTCCCACACACCCCTCCAAGCCCCAGGGCTGCCTCAGTTCTATGTTTTGGTACGGGGTGGGGGGCTGAATTGGGCCCTTGCATTTGCAAGGCAGGCGGTGGGAAGGAACCACTGCGCCAAATCTCCGGCCTTTTTAAAATTTTATCCATTTTTTGAGAGAGATGAGATCTTTTCTCTGTAGTCCAGAATGGCCTTGAATTCTTCAATCCTCTTGCCTCAGCCTCCTGAGTGCTGAGATTATTGCCTGTGTACCCCATGCCCAGCCTAGAAAAGTTCTTGACAAGTCATCCATCTGCTGTTTCCCCAGCCTGGCCCAGCGTGCACTGCCTACCTCACCATCAGGTCTCGGGAGCCGAGTGAGGCCCTGGGCTGCAGGTCAGCTGGGGCTGTGCGGTCCCCCACGCTGCGTGGACATCTCTGCCCTCAGAGAGCCACAGGCTTAAGTGCCCCGATGGTGCAGCCCAGAGCAGGCCCCAGGAAGGAGTGGGTCTCCACGTGGGCCAGGCCCACCTCCCCCTCAAAGGCATCAGGACCCCAGGACTCCTGGCGGGGGAGCGCTGGGTATGGACGCCCAGTTACTTCACATCCCAGACCTTGGGAAGAAGTGGGATTTTATTCTTGGGTTGTCTTTTCTGTTGGTCAGGATTTTGCTATATGGTTCAGGCTGGGCTCAAACCCTTGGCAGTCCTCCTGCCTCAGCTTCCCTAGCACCTGGATTACAGGCGTGCGCCGTTATACCCTGCAGGAATTGGTCAATCAAGTAAAGTGTGGCCAGCGTAGCTGAGGGGCCTGGGAGCTTCAGACTGTCCGGCAGCTTCCTCTCCGCATCTCCTCCAGCTCTTGGCCAGGTGTTCACAGGAGATGGAGCCTGGCTGAGACCCGCAGGGCAGAGGCGCTGGCCCGTCTCTGCCCAGCATGGTGAGCCATGGTCTCCCTTGGGGAGACTTTGCTGACAGGACTGACACCTGTGGCATTTTCCCTCCCCAGGGGATACAGCCACAGCGCAGCACAGCTTCCGCGTGGCCCAGATGCCCAAGACGCTTCCGACGCTGGTGTTGCCCTGGAGTCGCAGGTGAGTGACTGGACTGCTCCTCCCATCACAGGAATGGTGCTCGTGCTCGTGCGCAGTGCTGGAGCGCCCCACTCGCACACTGCTGTGCTAGGTTTGTTTTTCAAAAAGGTCCCTGCCGTGCCCCGGCTGGCCCTGACTGGACCCCAGGCAGATCTGTGGCCCAAACTCACAGGTCACAGAGTAACAGTGACTGGGCACAGTGGTGCACGCCTATAATTCTAGCATCAGGAGGCTGAAGCAGGAGGATCGAGGATCACAGGTTCAAGCCCATCCTGGCCACAATAGCAACTTTAGGGCCAGCCTGGGCTATGGAGACCCTGTCTCAAATCAAAGTGGCAGAAGCTGCCCGGCCCAGTGCTGTCACACTGGCACCGGAGCTTGGTGCTGATAGTACACAGTGGGTTCTACCGACACCCCTTAGGAGGCACACAGGTGGGTGGAGTCTGTCTGAGCCCTTGGGGTGTGGGTAGAGCCCACTGGTCTGCAGGTGCCTGGCCACCTGGGGTGCAGGGCTGTTCCTGGGGCACTTTTAGCCAGGGTGCAGCGGAGGCCGGGTCATTAGTGTCACCAGCCTGCAGGTCAGCCCCGGGCTCAGCCACTGGCCACACTGCCACCCCTTCTCTGGTTTGTTTAGGATAACGGGGACCTGAGGGGAGCGGCGCAGCGAGGGAGCCCTGGCTGTCCCTGGAGGGCAACAGCCCCGCCTTCTAAATGGGCTCGGTTTCTCCTGCCACCTGTACACAGCCCCCAGGAGGACACAGAGCCACTGGCATCAGCACAGAGGGGGCCTGGGCCAGCCCGTCCAGCACAGGCCACCCCTGAGGAAGGCCGCTTCAGTGGGCCCACTGCCCCCACCATGCCTCCTCGGGCTGTGCTGGGGAGGCCCTGTGGGGAGACCCCGTGGGCAGAGGGCTGTCAGGTGGCCCCATCCGTGCGACGGTGCAGCCTCTTTACAACTGGGGAGGAGTTCGAGGATGACCTGTGAGGTGAGATGGGGCATGCGGGATTAAAACAGCTGCAGGGCTAAAGTGCACATGCAGTTTAATTACAAGTGGCTCCACATCAGGTCCCCCTAGGGTGGCTAAAGGGAGTTTCTCACTTTAAAGCACATAACACATCTGGAAATGAGAGCTAGCGTGGTCAGGGTCAGGACGCGACTGGCGAAAGCCACACCCAGACTCCCCACAGCAAACCTGCTGGCTGGGCTGTACCTCCCGGGTGTCACTCCCTGACAGTGCCACTAGCTGTCTGTGCTGCACGATTAGTCATTTGTTAAAAAGAGAAGCACAGGGCCATGGGGCACTGGACTGCCAGTGTGGCGCAGGGACATCAGGGTCACCTGTCCCCACTCCAAGAAACCCCCCACGGGCCTGCGCTCTACACTACCCAGAGCTGAGACAGGAAAGCAGGCACAGGACATGGCCAGGCGCCAAAGTCACAGCGGTGGCGGGTGCTTCGAGTACTGGATGGTGTCCAGGGCGGCCCCTATGTCGTAGTTCTTGGTCTGCAGGAGCCGGGTGAGCCAGCCACCTTCATCAGAGAAGCCCATGGACAGCATCTGGGACAGTGACTCAATCAGCCGGGGGTCAGCCTCTGCCAAAAAGGACCAAGCCGAGAGGTGAGTGCTGAGGCCTGGCAAGCCCTTACCTGCACAGGCGTCTCCAACCCTGCTGCCAGTGTGTATCCAGACGGCTGTGGCTCTGCCCTGTAAAACCTCACCTCACTGCCAGGCACATGGCTGCTGCTACTCAGGAGGCTGAGGCAGGAGAACCACTTCAGCCTAAGCAACACAGCAACCAAGACCCATCTCAACAACAGCCCAAAAAACCACCACCTCTACAGATGCCGAAATCTGAATCTCGTGTCATGATGTAAAAGCCTCTCATACATAAGCCATTGTTTGCCACCCCCAGCTCCAAGGCAGGAGCCACAGAACCGACCTTGGCCCTGACACTGAGGGTCTGCCTTCACGTGCAGGTCATCTCCAAGCCCCGTGAGTACACAGCAGTCAACCGGGCATGGCTGCCTTTACGCTGAGCTACATACCCAGCAGCGCCCCCTTTTAATGTCGAAGAGTTCCCTAAAGTCACCATCTTCCTGTCTCAGCCTCCCAGTTACGTCTGCATGGTTTTTTTGATGAGACAAGGTTTATGTATCCTGGGCTGGCCTAGAAACTGATCGCAGTCCTGCCTCAGCCTCCCAAATTAGGTGTTGAATCTTATATTTATTTTATTTTTGGTACCAGGGATTGAACTCGGGTCCTTGGATTTGCAAGGCAGGCGGTGGAACCAGAGCTCAATCCCTGGCCCAGGTGTGAAATTTTAAGATGACTAAAATTGGCTGAGCTCCTGTCACTCGGGACAGACACAAAGGACCACTCCTCATTTTCTGTCACTGAGGAGGCCCCATGGCAGAGGCCATCAGATCCTTCTGTCTGGTGCCCTGCTCTGGGGGAAAGGAGGGCCAGAAACACAAGGTCACTTGCCTGGTGGGAGGTGCGGGTACAAAGCGGCCTCCTTCAGCCCTGTGGGCCCCTGCTGGGAAGGGTCCAGAGAGCTTGGCCCTTCCGACTCTGGCATCTGGAGGGACTGAAGCTCCCCAGTGGAGGGGTCCACTTCTTTTGAAGACAGATGAGTCCAGTCCTCATCTCCTCCGGAACAGTTGTCGGACTCCATCTGCTCCTGGAAGGATACGTGCGCCGTGAGCAGGCGGGCAGCGCTCTCCTCTCCTACAGGGTGATGGCTCTGCCTGGGGCGAGGCTGCAGGAGGGAGCAGGCCTACCTCGGGCTGCCCCGTGGGCTCCAGGGCGATCTTCCTCATCTGTTCTGCCAGAGCCTGCGCCATGCCCTTGCCGCTGCTGTCCGGCCTGCTGGGCTCTGAGGAGCAGCTGCTCGGCTGGGAGCTGCCCTTGTCCTCCATGCTGGGGCTCTCCGGGGAGACGGGTGTCAGGCGGCTCCTTTTTCCTCCATGCTCCACGTCAATGTCAACTTCAATTCCTGGAGGCCAAGAAACACATCCGCGAGGTCGGGGCCTCCATGTGAGGGGAATGCAGGTGTAGAAAGCTCTGCTCTGCTGCCACCAGCACGTGAGGTGGGGACAGGGGCACTGGGCACGTGGATGCAGGCCCTGGACACGACCCTGTAAGATAACCTCACAGGCCCAAGCAGATGGATGGTGGTCACCCCACCTCCAGGTGCCCAGAGGTGGAACTGCTCTCTGGGTGCCCTGGCCCCAAATCCTCTCAGCCCCACGAAGCACACTCCTGACAGGCCCACCACACTGGACCTTCCCTTACCCAGGGGGGTCAAGCATCATCCTCAGCTGGCCTCCAAGGTCTCGTGTTTCCTAGGTATGTGGGCAGGACCGCAGCCTGGGCCATGGTGCAGAGCCCACATGACACGTGCAGGTGCATACACGGACTGGGAGAGGGCGGGCAGGCCGCGCCAACCTGAAGACAGCTCCCAGCATGGGCCAGCACCTCACGAGCACCCAAGCTGACTGAGGGATGCAGGGCAGAGTCCCCCTGCCATTTCCAGGTTAACTCATCTGTATATCAAGGGAGCCTCTCCGGCCCAGCTACCTACCCCTGCCGCCCACTCAGGTAGACATCCACATCTGTATTAACCTCCCTCCCCTTTATTCTTTCAAACACTGAATTTTGGGTTAAAACATCCAAGGTGGTCTCAGAAAGGAGCTAAGGAGGCCACCAGGGAAGCCCCACTGGTAGGAGCCAGCTGTCCTCCATCCTCTCAGGGTTCCAGCCTCCCCCAGAACCCCCACAGTAGTGGACTCCTCCCTGGTGGGCAGCTGCCGTCCTCCTGCGTGGGCTGCACAGGCCATCACCAAGCCTAGAAGCATCTCTGACCTGCGTTGGGCTTTCGCACTGTCCCCTGCTCCCTGACCTGTGACACTGGCACCTAATCAGGTGATCTTGTTTTTTTCTCCAGTGTCTGCTGTGTGGTCATATAGCCAGTCTGATAGGTTCCCACTCTACCCACTTCCATCTTCAGAAATCTGATGACTTTGTCTTCTCTTAGTGTTTGTTGTTTTTGTTTTGTTTGATTGTAGGTCCTTTAAGTCCATCTCTTGCAATTACTTTAGAAGAGTTTACAGAAAGATGGGCCCAAGGATGCAACTGGTGATAGAAAGTTTGCCATGCACGCACAAGGCCCTGCACCTAATCCCCAGCAACACACACATTACACAACTTTGCAATGAAAAGGCTCGAGCAAAGTCAAGTCAGGCAAGGTGGCCACATGCCTGTAACCCCAGCGTATGGGAGGCTGAGTCAAGAGGATCCTCAGCTCCACACCAGCCAGTCTGGGCTACCTGCTGAGACCCATCTTGGGAGACCAAAAAAGACAATGAAGGCTAAAGGAAAAGTTGAAAGATAGTTAACAGTGAATGCCTGTACTTTTTTTTTTTTTAAAGCACCCCTTCTGTGAAAGGATTAAAAAAAAAAAAAAAAAC